ACAATTGCTCGTCTTTTTTGTTCCTTTTATTGTGAATGTATTTAGTGTTTGAGCACTTGAGCTTTCAGCACATAAAAAGAAATTACTGAAATCTGCATAACAGAGCATGTTCCTATTCACATGCGTGCATTTTTCTGTGTTTTACACAACCATGCCCTGAACTAGGAGTGTAATTTGTTTGCGGCCTGCTGAGTGTTGGTTCTGATGATTGCAGAAAGCTTTCTATTAGTATATGCAATAAGATCAAACAGTAAATTATAGAGTATTGCTATACCTCAAGAACCAGTATTGCTAGTGGGCACCTTTCAGCCCATGTCGCCCCCCCCCCCCCCCCCCCCCCCCCATTACTGGCTTTCCATGCCTTGTTCTATTCTGTATCTACGTGGAGATCACCATCTTGGTAGAGTAAGACCTTGGGTGAGAAATGCTCCCTTGATGAGTGTGATGACTGACAGCAGGGATGACTCATCATTGTTGGGAAGCTGGCAGTTGTTGAAGGATATTCCCGTACTTCTCTAAAAACCTCTGAATTGAGCGATAACTAGGATTAAACCTAGTGGAAATATGGGACCTTCAATAGGTTCAGGTTCTACCCTCTGGTTATCTATAAGTCTCAAAAGATTGTCAGTGTACTTCCTTATAAATCACCTATGTGAAAGTTATACTATATGGGTTGGTGTTACAATAGAGGATAAATTCATGGATTCTGGTTTCGGGCCTTGTAAGATGATTATCACATCTATATATCTCCCAAACAAGACCATGGGTTCTGAAAAAGGGTTGTTGGCCTATATACTGTACAAAGGTCTTCCCAGTAACACATGTAGAGGTTAGCATAACTTGGCCTCATCGCTTTGTCAACTTTCTGCATGTAGAACAACTCAAGGAAACCAGTAAATTTGTAGCTTAAAATAAATGTTACAGCCTCCCTCTTTCTCTGTTCTGCTATGTTCTTATTCTTCCAGAAGTTTCCTTCTGCTTGTAAAGTCTTTACCCTGTGAGTAGGATAACATATTTTTAATAAATGTTATTGATGGTCCTACATTATGGTCTATGTGCCATGTTTCTTTTTCACCCATTGCTTACTTTACATAGATAGAGTTCCCCCCCACAGCATGCAGTGGCAGACCTAAATTTAGTGTCAGTGATACATGTTTTGTATGCGGGCTACCCACCTGTACAGTCTTTTGGTATTACAGGTGATGTCTTTTTTTTTTTTTTTTTTTTTTTTTTTTTTTTTTTTTTTTTTTAGTGTTGCATATTTTATATAAAATATATTTAAGGCTCTTGCAAGTCTTTATTTAATACACTTTGATTGGACTGAGTTGAGTGCTATGTGTTGAGCATCTTTGCAACCTAGCAGTTTTTGTTTTTTAGCAGCAGGATTGTAAACCTGTAATTTTCTCTATCATATATTACGGGACACAGAGCAGGCTATAAACATAACTATTTGGGTTAAGCACCCCTTATAGGTTAATAGACACTGGCAGACAAAAACAGACGGAGTCTTCTCCTATATAACCCCTCTTACACAGGAAGACCCTCAGTTTTTTCACCAGTGTCTTGAAGGTGATGGCCTCTGAATTTCAGCTCTCTGTAAGAGTAGCACCGGTCTCAAAAAGGTTCTAATGGTTATCAAGGGACTGGATAATCGGAATTATTCGGATAGCTGGTGGCTAAAATGGATGGTACTTGACCCTGTTGAGAAGATGGAAGACGCAGGGATTGCCTGTAATGCGGCCTTATGGTGCTGGAGCCTACTTTAATGTAGCCTTGTGCAGTTGTTATCTGACCTAGGCGCTTTCCGGCTGGGTGCTATACAGGTCCAAGGCAAGGGCCCCAGGAAAAGATCGGGGGACCGAGTCCTTAAGGATCTTTTATGACCAAGCCTGCCGTGATTGGATTTTTTGCCTATTGGACAAGAATGTCTGTTGGACGAGGTTGGTGGGTTTGCTCCCTCATCCTTCTTTTCTTTTGAAAAAAAAAAAGAACATATTTTGTTTATATGTGTTATGTGGGGCAAACTGTTATAGAATACAGCTGTCATACATAACGAAGGCTGTCCATTTTTATCAGAGCATACAGTCTATTCAATCTTCGGCAGCAGAGGAGCCAGCTCTGTGTTCTTAGATGACATAATGAAGTGAAAGGATGCAGTTTCTTGCGGCAGGCGTGCATGAGGCATGCATGTGCAGTAGCAGCCAAAAGCTGTGGGCGGCCATCTTTCTTAAGGATTGTGTGCATACACGTGAACTCTGGTAAGCAGCAGGAGAGGGACAAAGAGCAGGATAGCCTGCTGGGCCCATGTGTTTTGAGGTGCATGGTACTGGTGGCCAGTCCAGACTGTGGGCTAGATTAGAGCTACTGACTGTTGGGCTATGATAACTGATTTTGGCTGGATCACAGCCTAGCCTAATGGGAATAATCTGCTAACAAAGCAAGATTATTTTGTCACAACCCTTAGCAGTATTGGCAGTTGGCTTTGAAGTGGGTAATGTCTTCCAAAAACCGGAGCGGAGGAAATGCAGCAGGAAGGGGCGCATGTGCTTTGCCACCAGATCCTGAAGAACCTAGTTGATCTTTTATATATCCAATACACGTTTATGGGCCCAGTGGCTTATAAGCATGTAGACCTTGTGGCGCTGTAACTTTTTATATTTGATATCCAATATATCCCAACTTTTGGGACAGTATCCTACGGGGAATACATGCATATAGAATAATTGTCATCTGGGCGTCTATATTATGACATTGTTTTTAATTTTCTGTATGTCAATATGTATGTTGTGGTCGCTGAGCACAGTGTGTTACTTCTACTTTGCTGCATTGCAAAATGGTTTTTGCAAAGAATTTAATAAAACGTTTAAATTGTAAAGACTGATACAAGCCTTGTTTGCTGTCCAATTAACCACTTGTCTCATAGGGTGGGCAAAATAGTCACTCATGTGACTATTTTGTTCTTTTGCTATTTTTTGGTTTAGACAGCAACACTTATCAAGTGACTAGGCAATCAGTGTTTTTCTATATTCCCCTCTTATTCTTTCAGTTCTTTAAATTTAGTTCCTACACTGCCCCCCCTCCACCTGCACATTGCAACATCAGTACTGCGGTTTGTGCAAAGTGTACTGATGAAAAACTGTAGTGTATGAGCTTTTACTCTGGACTAACGCTCCACAGGAGTAAATAATGTGCAAGATTTTCACAAGTGATGATGTGGTGCCAACAAGCCCACATAGCTCATATCTTTCTTGATCAAAGACATGCAAGTATAAGAATGAGAGGGGAGCCTGAGGGAAGAGGGGAGATCACAACAAAACCCTGCACTGCTCATTCTGCTGCAACTTGCTCTCACATTGGCCAGTCATCTCAATTTCAATTTACACCTTGACCGGGCTGCTTTACCATCATTCCCATATTCTGCTGACAACATTCTTTTATCTCCTCCAACATCAGCTTCATAATAACCCATGTATCATCCTGTAGCCTTTGTCAACTTAGAAAAAGTAAACACTGCTCACGGTTGGTCTTAATCTAACCCACCTCCACTGCACACTAGCAGTTGCTGGCCCTGTTCATTGCAGAAATCATGATGTGAGGGGAAAAAGTCCAGCTGGCCGCACATCTGTAAAATCACCTTTTATTGTATCAAAATCCACATAGACACTCCACGGTACAATACACAAGGGAAAATAGCACAAAAACCAAAGCGTTTCACATCGGCACTTAGGCATAGCCACAATGACATTGCTTAACACTGGCTTAAGCCCTTGGCAGCTTCCCTCAGCTGTGTCGTAACACCTGTGATACCAATATGATTGTAAAATCCGTTCTTCCAAAATCTTTGTGATAGCTACCAGAGCCAGCAATATCAGAAACGGGCACGGACTCCTCAATTCAGGCAATCGTTCATTCACTCCTCACTCTGACTGCTGCATCTGGAGACTAGTATTTGTATTTACAGGTGATAGTAAATGGAAAGGCTGTGATATAAAATTGTTGACAATTCACTCAAAGATATTTGTTGAATGGAACCTATATTGTGTTTTAGAGAATTTGTAGGTTTCCAACCCTAAGAAATATTGCTACAGTGTATATTCCATATATCTGCAATATAATAGAGCAGCACTACAGATAATGAGTATTAAAAGTCCACGTAAAGTCTATAACGAATCCTCTGCACATGTCAAATACAGGCGAGAGGCTGAAAGTGAAGGTTCCCCACTAGTGGTGATTCCAGTTTTCTGTTTTCTCTGAATACTTGGACGGAAGGGAACTTCTTCATAGCTATTGATTGAGACTTTCACTTAAATGTTTCACATGTCATTCTGATGAATGGTTACATTATTACTATGATACATTTATATTATTGACTCAATGGGAATCTTGACGTGTACAGAGGATTCGTTATAGAGTTTATGTGGACTTTTAGTATTCATTATCTGTAGCGCTGTCCTAATCTACTATATTGCTTTTTTTTAGATGTGGTTTGATCATATGAGGACTTAGCGGCAGCAGATTATCCTATTCATTCATTGATTCATTTATCGTTTTTACACCAGAATTGCGCACAGGTTGCTTTTACTGTGTATTCCATACCCGTTAATATCTTGTGGATGACAATGAATCCTTTCTGTTCCATTGTCTCTTCGCTTACTACAAGTAATTTCAGGGAGTTTTGGGGATCAAATAGTGTTGCACTGCTCTCTTACCCATGATGTTGTCCAAGGGTAACTAAGCCATGCAGATAATTGAGTATTTACAGGTATAGAACATATATATTGATGCATTTATTTTTAATCATTCACTGGCCTGAGACCACGCTTAGTGACACAGCTATGTATGTACAGTATATTTGGTGTGTGTGTGTATTTGTGTTTTATATCAGAACTTGTTATTTTATGTTAAACACTTTTTTGTGAGTATATTTTTTTTCAAAATAAATAAGGTTACACATATCCACTACCTTGTTTTTCACAACCTGGAATGTAATTTCTTTTCAGATCAAAAATCTGCATCCCACACCTAAAAAGAAGTAAAGTAGCACACATTCTAAACCTTAGTCCTCCACTCAACTTGAATCCAGTTTGGTTTAAGAATCACTGTGGTAAGTTATGACATTCTTTTCTATTGTACTTTTATGACTTTGGTACTGTACTGGACATATACACAGTAATAGTTTTTTTTGACATTGTCACTTATGATTTCATCATCCTCATAGGAATTAAGTCAAAATAGATATTTGAAAGTAGTTGCTTAATAACAATAAGATGTATAATAAAATAAACTATTTTATTTACACAGGTGAAACTCGAAAAAACTTGAATTTCCCTCATTACGTTGTTTTTTTTCCTGAAAATCAAGTATTTATATTGCATTAATATGTTTTATATCCCTTTGTATGTATTGGAACAAATATAAAACAGAGGCAGAAAAGCAAATATATATCACACAAAACCCCAAAATGGGCTGGACAAAATATTATAACTTAATATGCACACCCTTTAAACATAACTGAAATCAGTCGCTTCCTATAACCATATATAGCTTCTATACCCGGAATTTTGGACCACTCTCTCCTTTGCAAACATCCATATTACCTTTTCCCAACAGCAATTTTAAGATCTCTCCACAGGTGTTCAATGGGAATTTACACTCTCCAGCGTGAATTTCTGAGTGCTCGTATGTTTGGGGTCAAGAAATCTTGGAGCAAACCCAGCTTTCTGACACTGGGCCCTACGTGCGCAAAAGTCCTCATTTATTTCAGTACCCATGCAAAACAACCCCAACATTGAATATTTTACCGTAGGTGTTCTTTGTAACTAAACATAGAATGATGTGCTTTACCGAAAAGATACTCATGTCCACAAGATGCTTTTGGCTTAATACAACTGTATATGTCTCTGTTCAAGTCTCCTGCCATGATTTAAATGTCACGGATAGTTGCTGACATGAGCCTTAGCTTGAATGTCTTTACAGCTCATGACTAAATCTTTCATCAAATCACGCAATACTCATGGGTTGAAAACTTTTGATAATGTTGCGCACTGTGGACAAAGGTTACATGCAATCAATAAAGCAAGAATTGTACATAGACCAATATCAGACCTCTGAAAAGTACAATGTTGCATATATATGTACTCAGTACTTTGGACCCCTTTTGAAGCATGTGTTTACTGCCTCAATGCGGTGTGTCATGGAAGCTATCAGCCTGTGGCACTGCTGAGGTGTTATGGAAGACCAGGATGCTTCAATAGCGGCCTTCAGCTCTTCTGCATTGTTCGGTCTCATGTCTCTCATCTTTCTCTTGGCAATGCCCCATAGATTCTCTAGGGTTCAGGTCAGGCGAGTTCGCTGGCCAATCAAGCACAGTAATCCCACGGTCATTGAACCAGGTTTTGGTGCTTTTGGCAGTGTGGGTAGGTGCCAAGTCCTGCTGGAAAATGAAGTCGGCATCCCCATAAAGCTCGTCTGTGGAAGGAAGCATGAAGTGCTCCAAAATCTCCTGGTAGACGGCTGCGTTGACCCTGGACTTAATGAAGCACAGTGGACCAACACCAGCAGATGACATGGCTCTCCAAATCAACAGACTGTGGAAACTTCACACTGGACTTCAAGCATCTTGCAGTGTGTGCCTCTCCATTCTTCCTCTATACTCTGGGTCCTTGGTTTCCAAATGAGATGCAAAAGTTGCTCTCATCAGAAAAGAGGACTTTGGACCACAGAGCAACAGACCAGGTCTGTTTTTTCTTTAGACCAGGTAAGATGCTTCTGACGTTGTTTGTTCAGGAGTGGCTTGACAAAGAGGAATACGACATTTGAAGCCCATGTCCAGGAATTGTCTGTGTGTGGTCGCTCTTGATGCACTGACTCCAGCCTCAGTCCACTCCTTGTGAAAGTCCCCAACACTTTTGAATGGCCTTTTCCTGACAATCCTCTCCGGGCTGCGGTCATCCCTGCTGCTTGTGCACCTTTTTATTCCACACTTTTCCCTTCCACGTAACTTTCTATTAATGTGCTTTGATACAGCACTTTGGGAACATCCAACTTCTTTTGCAATTACCTTTTTGAGACTTTCACTGCTTATGGAGGGTGTCAATGATGGTTTTCTGCACAACTGTCAGGTCAGCAGTCTTTCCCATGATTGTGATTCCTACTGAACCAGACTGAGACCATTTAAAGGCTGAGGAACCCTTTGCAGGTGTTATGGCTTAATTGGCTGATTAGAGTGGGACATTTTGAGCATAGAATACTGCACCTTTTCACAATATTCAAATTTTCTGAGATTGTGGATTTGGGGTTTTCATGAGCTGTAAGCCATAATCATCACAATTATGACAAATCACAACTTGAACGATCTTGCTTTGCATGTAATGAATCTATCTCATATATTAGTTTCACCTTTTTAAGTTGCCTTACTGAAATAAATGAACTTTTGCACGATATTCAAATTTTTCGAGTTTCACCTTTTTCACCTTTTGTGTGTGTGTGTGTGTGTGTGTGTGTGTGTATAGTTCTATAATGGATATAGGCTGAAAGTGCGCACACTCAGGTTTTAGTTTGAGGGTATGTACATCCAAATTGGAGGAAGGGTTTAGAAATTACAGCTCTTAAGTGTAGTCATCCTCCTTTTTTCAAGGGACCAAAAGTAATTGGACAATTGAATATAATCATAAAAAACAATTCATTTTTAATATTTTGTTGAGAATCCTTTACTGGCAATGACTGCCTGAAGTCTGGAACCCATGTACATTGCCATAGACTGGGTTTCCTCCTTGCTCTAACTGCAGCTGTCTTCAGTTGTTGTTTGTGGGTCTTTCTGGTTTTAGTTTTTCCTTCAGCAAGTGAAATGCATGCTCAATTGGGTTGAGATCAGGTGAATGACTCGGCCATTGCAGAATATTGCACTTCTTTTCCTTCAAAAGCTTTTGGGTTGCTTTTGCAGTGTGTTTTAGATCATTGTCCTTCCGTACTGTAAAGTGCCAACCAATCAACCTTGCTGCATTTGGCTGAACCTGGGCTGCCCGTATATCTCTAAACACTGCAGAACTCATCCGGCTGCTTCTGTTTTCTGTCACATCATCAATAAACACCAATGACCCAGTGCCACTGGAAGCCATGCATGCCGATGCCATCACACTGCCTCCCAACAAGTTTTACAGATGACGTTGTATGGTTTGGATCATGAGCTGTTCCAAGCCTTCTCCACACTTGTTTCTTCTCATCATGAATGGTACAGATTAATCTTAGTTTCATCCATCCAAAGAATGCTTTTCCAGAACTGGTCTGGCTTTTTTAGATGTTTTTTGGTAGAGTCTAATCTGGCTTTTCTATTCTTCAGGCTTATGAATAGTTTGCACCTTGTGGTGAACCCTTTGTATTTGCTCTCCTGAACTCTTAACTGTAGACTTTGACAATGATACGCCCACCTCCTGGAGAGTTTCCTTCACTTGTCTGGCTGTTTGTGATTGGGTTTTTCTTTTACCATAGAGAGGATCCTGCGATCATCCACTACTATTGTCTTCCAAGGACCTCCATACCTTTTTTTTATGTTGCTGAGCTCACCAGTGCGTTCTTATTTCCTCAAAGTACCAGACTGTTGATTTGGGCACTCCTAATGTTGCTTCTATCTCTCTGATGGATTTGTTTAGTTTTTGAAGCCTTACAATGACCTGTTTCACTTGCATGGACAGCTCCTTTGAACGCATAATGTAGGTTCACAGCAATAGATTCCAAATTCAAATACCACACTTAGAATCAACTCCAAACCATTTACCTGCTTAATTGATGAAGAAATAACGAATGAGTAGCCCATACCTGGCCATGAAACAGCTTTTGATTCCATTGTCCAATTACTTTTGGTCCCTGGAAAAAGGGGGGGGAGTGGCTACTCTTAAGTGCTGTAATTCCTAAACCCTTCCTCCAATTTGAATGTACACACCCTCAAATTAAACAAGAGTGTTCTCTTTCAGCCCATATCCATTATATAACTATACCTTGAATATATTTTGGTAAATACCTGAAAAAAACTAAAATTGTGCCTGTGTCCAAATATATATGGACCTAACTGTGTATGTGTATATATAATCTCTCATGAATGAAATCATATACAGTGTGTATAAATGCTGTATATAATATGAATTGGCAAATCTTTTGTATAGCTTTAGCATCAGGGCAAGAGAAAATATTTGTCTTTTCATGCACTGTACAGCTCCTTTTTTTTTTTTTTTTTTTTTAATATTTTAAGCATATACCATTGCAAAGTATGGAATGTCCATGTGCGTTTTGGGGATGGCTGAAGAATTTAAAGGAGAAATTGCTGTCAATGCTTTGTGGCCTAAAACAGGTGAGCCGTTACTTCTTTTTGCAATTTTATTTTAAATCCTTGTTTTATATTGATTTTAGTTGTGTGTGTGTGTGTGATGCAACACAGGATCGACCCTAGCAATCCAAGTCCTATAAGTAAACAGACCAGGGTTGAGTCATTCCAATATACTTTTTATCAAATTAGTCGGCAACTAGCAGCATATGTGTGCACAATCACGGTGCATATGCAGTATCAGACAATACCACACATGCAAAAAGAACATCACCTAGTGGTAGCGCAAGGGCAAAAGAAGGCAGACGTTGCGCAGTGGGCAGGCTGTGGCAGACATATTTACTCACTCACATGTGCCGTAGCAAACAAAGTTGGCAAAATGGGGATAACCCATGCATGTGCGACAGAGAACAACCTTTCATGTTGCTGCTACACATGTGGGTTAGTGCCGCCATAATTGTTGACACTGTAGAGAATTCCACACATCTTCAGCAGTGAAATAGCCAACCATTTTCGCTAAAAATACAGGGCTTGCAGTGAGCAGAGGTTTAGCCTGGGCAGAGCTGATGGAGAGAGCATAGAAGCATTGTCCAGGGTGACTGGGGAGAGCAATCACGCTGCAGTCCTCAATGCCACTTACCGGAAACATGTCGGTCGCCCAAGAACTACCAACAACTGAGGGTGACAGTCAAGAGAATGAAGCTGTCAGGCACCTGCAGTTGCTGTGTGCTGACACTGGACCCTCTACCCATCATGCTATTCCTTGACTGGAGGGCACTATATGTCGGCAGGGTTGTGTACTTGGGCTCTTGCCATTCTCTGTTACCCTGTTCCTCTGACTGGCACCAACCATTTTCGCTAAAAATACAGGGCTTGCAGTGAGCAAAAGTTTAGCCTGGGCAGAGCTGATGGAGAGAGCATAGAAGCATTCTCCAGGGTGACGAGGGAGAGCAATCGCGCTGCAGTCCTCAATGCCACTTACCGGAAACATGTCGGTCGCCCAAGAACTACCAACAACTGAGGCTGACCGTCAAGAGAATGAAGCTGTCAGGCACCTGCAGATGCTGTGTGCTGACACTGGACCCTCTACCAATCATGCTATTCCTTGACTGGAGGGCACTATATGTCGGCAGGGTTGTGTACTTGGGCCCTTGGCATTATCTCTGTTACCCTGTTCCTCTGACTGGCACTATCTTTGTGGCACTTCACTCAAAACTGGAATGTGTCTCCATTAATTTGGTTATGGTCTGTTTAAGGGGGACAACAAGAAAGTAGACAAGGGTGAGGGATTCTGTGGTGATCCAATAGAAAGGGGAAAACTGATATACAATATTCCCAGGATTGTTGAGCCCTAGTATGGGACCCAGAATTCAGAGGCTCAGAGAGATTTTAGGTGGGAAAGAGCCTCCAACCCTGACTATGGGGCTTCAGTCCTGAAAGGTTTACCCGCCTGCAAGAGAGGGCTTAAAAGGGCAGGAAGCAATCATCAGATGTATGTGAGGAGGTGAGTGGAGCAGGACACAGTTGTGAGAGGGCTTGTTGTTGTTGTTGTTGTTATTATACAGGATTTATATAGTGCCAACAGTTTGCTCAGCGCTTTACAATATAACGGGAGAAAATACAGAAACAATACAGTTCAATACAAGAGGGATTTGAGGGCCCTGCTCCTTGGAGCTTACAATCTAGGAGGGAGGGGCTAGTGGTACAAAAGGTAGTTACTGTGGGGCATGGACTGGTTGGAAGAGTAGAAGATTCCAGTATTAACTGAGGGCAGGATAGGCTTCCCTGAAGAGAGAGGTTTTCAGAGATTGCCTAAAAGTGAGCAGAGTAGGTGATAGTCTGATAAATTGGGGGTAGAGAGTTCCAGAGGATGGAGGAAGCTCTGGGGAAGTCCTGGAGACGAGCATGGGAGGAGGAGACAAGGGAGCTAGAGAGTAGGAGGTCTTGCGAGGAGAGTACGGTTTGGGTGATATTTAGAGACAAGATTGGTGATGTAATTTGGGGCAGAGTTTTATAAATGGTTTTATGTTCTTGTTAGTGTTTTGAATTTTATCAGTTGGGCAACGGGAAGCCAGTGGAGGGATTGGCAGAGAGGGATGGCAGATACAGAATGGTTAGTAAGGTGGATGAATCTGGCAGCAGCATTCATGATAGACTGAAGAGGGGATAGCCTGCGATGAGGTAGGCCAATGAGGAGGGAGTTACAATAGTCAAGGCGAGATATAACAAGGGAGTGAATAAGTTGCTTAGTGGTTTCCAAGGTTAGGAAAGGTCGTATCTTGGAGATGTTGCAGAGGTGAAGTCTACACGATTTGGACAGTGATTGGATTTGGGGCTGAAAGGACAGATGGGAGTCTAGGATTACACCTAGTACCCTGGCATGAGGGGAGGGACTGATGATTGTGTTATTGATCTTGATGGAGAAGTCGGGGGATGGGGCATGGGCTGGGGGAAATACTAAGCGCTCAGTTTTGGAAAGATTGAGTTTGAGGAAGTGGAGTGACATCCATGCCGATATGTCACTTAGTAGGTTAGTAATGCGAGAGGAGACTGAAGGGGTGAGGTGAGGGGTAGAAAGATAGATAGATTTGTGTGTCATCAGCATAGAGCTGGTACTTAAAGCCGTGGGAGTTTATCAAGTGACCAAGGGAGGAGGTGTAGATGGAGAAGAGAAGGGGTCCAAGGACAGAACCTTGGGGGACCCCTACAAAAATAGGGAGTGAAGAGGAGGAGGCAGCGTTATAGGTAACACTGAAGGAGCGCTGCGATAGGTAGGAGGAGAACCAGGAGAGAGCAGAGTCTTTGAGGCCAAGAGAGTGGAGTTTTTTGAGGAGGAAGGGATGGTCAGTATCAAAAACAGTATCAAAAGCCACAGAGAGGTCAAGTAGTAAGAGTACGGAGTAGTGGCCATTGCTTTTAGCAGTTAGTAGATCATTAGTGAGTTTTAGTAGGGCAGTTTCAGTGGAGTGTAGAGAGTGAAAGCCGGACTGTAAAGGTTTAAGAAGGTTGTTGTCGGCTAGGAGGGAGATCAGGCGATTTGTAGACTAAGCATTCTAGTTTAGAGGTAAATGGCAGCAGGGAGATGGGTCTTTAAGTTGTTTAGGTTGGTGGGGTCCAGGGAGGGCTTTTTAAGTATGGGAGTGATGTGCGCATGCTGTAGAGGTGAGGGGAAGGCACCAGTAGAGAGGGAAAGATTGAAGATGTGAGTGAGGGAGCATAGGATGGAAGAAGAGGGTGACCATAGTAGTTGTGAGGGGACAGGATCCAGGGGGCAGGTAGTGAGACTGCCTTCTGAGAAAACCTTAATGACCTCTTCGGTAGTAGCGAGGTCAAAAGAGGAAAGCGTTGAGGGAGGTTTAGTATAAGGTATGCTAAGTGTTTGTTTTATATACCTATATCTGTTCTAGTATCTAGGCATAGTCTCAGCAGCAGCTAATATATGCTTAAATTCACCTGAGCGCTGATATTTCTCCTATTTTTATCGCCTATATCCAGCCTCCACATTAAGTCTGGGTACAATGAGCTCAGTCTATTCACATGTAATAGAAAACCTTTGTACGTACACTCTACCCTGACCTGTTATGTAGTTTCAACAACATATAACCAATTGCAAGGATGCTTCAGTAAATACATGGTATAGGTTGTCTGGCAAGTAATATGCTGTTAAATTACATAGTTCTTAGTGCCATGGAAATTAACATTTTTTTAATACCAAAAAATGTGTGTCATACCTCACGCTTGGGTTAATCAGCATGTATAGTCTTGTCATGAATCATCTGATTCTATCTAAAAACCTGTCAGACATACTCTAAAACGTCAATATCTGGATATGCTGCACACATATATGCCAATAGCATTTCATAAAAGAAAACACACATGCAGAAAAACCATGGTACTGGCATACATATGAAATCCTCTTCTTTTTTTTTTCTTTTTTTTTTGACAGTAGTATGTAATTCCTCGGTGTCAGAAGTAGTTGAGATCTTTTTCAAAAATGCCTTGGGATAGCTCGTGGATAGCAATGTACATATTTTCCATTTATCTTCTAGCATCAAGGATATTTTGGACATTAACAATAATTGTCAATCTGATAAACTGGTTTTTAGCCATTGACCCAAATGTTGAAGGGAGATGAAAACAATAATTGGTTACAGTCCAGTAGCTACACATACAAATCCATCATCAAACTGGAACCGATCACTAGCATCATAAAAAGAGATACAATCTTTTTCATACAATATATTAAACAATCTACAGATGAGCCTTATTGATGTGCTCATCAAATGCCAGAAGGGATTGAATGTCACCGTGCCATACAGAAAATTTTACCGTCAATGAAGCACCACCACACAAGACAGTATGTGGAAAATGCCATGATGGGAAAGACAGATATGTCTTCCAGTCTATTTATACCTTCACCTGTACCATGTTGGGCATAGTAAATTCCCTTTACTGAAAAATTGTTTTTCCAGGCTGAAGCTCAAAAGCTGTATGATAAAGTCAGACTGTCACTCAGCGCACATACAACACTCTTGTTATGGCAATTTTCATGTGACAGCACTGAAGAAATGACACTTTGCTACAATGTAAAGTAGTGAGTGTACAGCTTGTATAACAGTGTAAATTTGCTGTCCCCTCCAAATAATTCAACACACAGTCATTAATGTCTAAACCGCTGGCAACAAAATGTAAATGTCCAAATTGGGCCCACAGTGTCAATTTTTTGTGTGGCCCATTATTTTCTAGCACTGCCTTAACTTTCTTGGGCATGGAGTTCACCAGAGCTTCACAGGTTGCCACTGGAGTCCTTTTCCACTCTTCCATGATGACATCACAGAGCTGGTGGATGTTGGAGACCTTGTGCTCCTCCACCTTCTGTTTGAGGATGCCCCACAGATGCTCAATAAGGTTTAAGTCTGGAGAAATTCTTGGCCAGTCCATCACCTTTACCCTCAGCTTCTTTAGCAAGGCAGTGGTTGACTTGGAGGTGTGTTTGGGGTCATTATCATGTTGGAATACTGCCCTGCAGCCCAGTCTCCAAAGGGAAGGGGGGGTCATACTCTGCTTCAGTATGTCACAGTACATGTTAGCATTCATGGTTCCCTCAATGAACTGTAGCTCTCCAGTGCTGGCAGCACTCATGCAGCCCCACACCATGACACTCCCACCACCATGCTTGACTGTAGACAAGGCACACTTGTCTTTGTACTCCTCACCTGGTTGCCGCCACACACGCTTCACACCATCTGAACCAAATAAGTTTATCTTGGTCTCATCAGACCACAGGACATGGTTCCAGTAATCCATGTCCTTAGTCTGCTTGTCTTCAGAAAACTGTTTGCTTCCTTCTGGGACGACAGCCATGCAGACCAATTTGATGCAGTGTGCGGCGTATGGTCTGAGCACCGACAGGCTGACCCCCCACCCCTTCTTCAACCTCTGCAGCAATGCTGGCAGCACTCGTACGTCTATTTCCCAAAGACATCCTCTGGATATGGCGCTGAACACGTGCACTTAACTTCTTTGGTCGACCATGGCGAGGCCTGTTCTGAGTGGAACCTGTCCTGTTAAACTGCTGTGTGGTATTGGCCACCGTGCTGCAGCTCAGTTTCAGGGTCTTGGCAATCTTCTTATAGCCTAGGCCATCTTTATGTAGAGCAACAATTTATTTATTTTTTTTCAGATCCTCAGAGAGTTCTTTGCCATGAGGTGCCATGTTGAACTTCTAGTGACCAGTATGAGAGAGTGAGAGCGATAACACCAAATTTAACACACCTGCTCCCCATTTACACCCGATGCACACCACACTTTTCAGATATTTATTTGTAAAAGTTTTGAAACCCATTTATCATTTTCCTTCCACTTTTCAATTATGTGCCACTTTGTGTTTGTCTATCACATAAAATCCCAATAAAATACATTTACGTTTTTGGTTGTAACATGACATAATGTGGAAAATTTCAAGGGGTATCAATACTATTTCAAGGCACTGTATATCACAGGCCTTATGACCTGTCTGCTATTGTAACTGATATTTTTACCTTGATTTTTCTTGCTTAAAAATCTTTATTGAGAAAACAGCAGAGCGTATTCTTCCAAACTGGTACTTTAAAATAATACTTAAAAACTACATTCTTAACCATATTGAAACCAAGGGTAACTTTGTTATTTAAAAAAAAAAAATTCTCAAACAACTGATCTTGATGCATCAATGATATAGAAATATTGCAGTTTAAAGATAAAGCATATACTAATGCGTAACCTGATATTAATCTGCTTGTCATGTGATTTAATTGTGTAAGTTTATTAGTTTAACTTGTTTTGCTCTTTTGTGTCTATGAGCATGAAATGTAATTCATGTACAGTACTTTTGATAAGCCTGTTCTAATTTTAAGGTATATGATGATTAATAATAATGGGGGAACAAAGGTGCAATATTATCTTTTTAGAGCATTGTTTATTGTAACTTTGCCAATTTGTTTACTATTTTAAATATCTGCAGCTCTTTAGTACCATTACCTGTCATTCACAAATTTTACTCCCGTTGATATACTGTAAATACCAGTCTTCCATTTTTTTTTTCTCTCATTGCTATAATACTTGATCTGTTTTACTTTCATGAGGGTTAAATGAATATATTGGACCACATAAATGAACAAAACACATGTTCAGATGTGAGATCAATGGAAATTTGGTTGAAATGTAGAAGGGGTAGTATACAGCCCTATAATAGAGCATTAGACTGTAAGTTGGTTGCTTTACATTGTTCTCAGATGTTTCACCTTTTGTTTATAGCTATACATACAGCTGCTATGGATATGCTGGGAGGATCTGAGGTGGAGAAGCAGTGCAGAACTGCTGACATAATGGCCGATGCTGCATACTCCATTTTAACAAAACCTAAAAGTTACACTGGAAACTTTGTAATTGATGAAGAGCTACTGAGGACTGAAGGAATAAAGGATTTCGATGTTTATGCAGTTTCTCCAGGTAGCAATGTCTAAATGTCTATTTTATAAATTAATGGCAAATGGCATAATGGCAAAATAGCTGCCATGTACAGAAAACTTTTATACCTGGCTTGGAGGATTACTTATGCATTGGTCTGCCAAGATCAAAAGTAACCTGGACTGTGCCAAACGTTAATTGGCCATCCAAACTTTGTAGTTTTTGGTACATTATGTCACTCATTAATGTGTGTTGTGTTCGGTCTGTCAGCACACAAGAACAGACAAAAAAAGGACATGCAGCACACCACAACAAATGGAAGTGTGTTACCGTGCATTGTGGTGAGCTGCAGAACAGTATTGGGTTCGCGCATTGGGATGTCATTCAGAGTGAGTTGTTCAACAGTGTGCAAAGGCATGCAATGCTCATGTTATTACATCGCAAGTGTAATTGAGCTCTTAAATTTTATAAAATTAATAAATATTGCAACAGGCGGTCTTTCCCCTTCCTCTGTTTTACAAAACTAACCTAGAATACCAGTCACACTGTCAGTAATAAAAAAATAAAAATAAAAAAAGTGTTCAAAAATCAACTCACCAGCCAGCTTGCCAACAACCAAATTAACCTGTCTAACAGTATGCGTTAAAAACAGGGGTTTAGTTAGCACACATTTGCAAATACATATGTAAGCCACAGAGCCACATCACGGCACCCTGATATTCTGTGGTCCTGACTCTACAAATTTGAGTCCCCATAGTAGAGGCACATGCCCCTGGTCTAGCCTTTAAATGTATGTGCCTCTACTATGGGGACTCAGATTTGTAGAGTTAGGACCACAGAATATCAGAGGGCCGTGATGTGGCTCTGTGGCTTACGTATGTATTTGCAAATGTGTGCTAACTAAACCCCTGTTTTTAACGCATACTGTTAGGTTAATTTGGTTGTTGGCAAGCTGGCTGGCGAGTTGATTTTTGAACACTTTTTATATTTTTCCTTTATTACTGACATGCGTTGCCCGGTTCACTTAGTCCTTGCTTCATAAGCCAGTTATAGACTGGGGCAGGTGCCATGTTTTACCAGTCATACTGACCAGTAAATGGAGTGAGAGTGCCAAAGTTTTTAGAAAGACCTTCTTTCCTTGATCAATTATTTTATATGAGTGGATAAAGATAATTTCTGGTGGCTTAAAGCCCTAAAGCTTTGATTATTTTTTTTTTTTTTTATAGGCAGGATCTGGCATTACACAAATAATGCAGAGAGACTGCCATGAAATATTTTTAAAGCGGATCTATTTGTAACTTTACAAGTCCTGTCTGCCAAAAAAATCTTTTCAAAATCTTTCAAAAGCCATACCTTTCATAATTAAAAATAATTGCCGAGACCTAGTCTGGTAAATTTGTCTAGGTCGAGAAGTGCTGCCAGAGAGAATGGAGTCATCTTCTCAGTCTTGTCTCTCCCAATTATCACATAGACTGTACACTGTAACTTTGGGAGAAACCATAACATACAAGATAGCAGCAAGAAGGTGATCTCTGTGACACACACACAAACCGTTCCATGTAGTCTACTGCACATGCTTGAGGATTTACAGGATTGTTTCATCGCTTGTCCAGCATACTAGTCCAAGAAGATGATGCTGACTCTTGGTGATTCTTGAACAAAAATGATACTATGAAGAAAGAATGTTAAGGCATTTTCTAGACCAGCCTTTTTCATCCAGGATGCCCAGTGCTTTGGTGCCTTCAGGGTTCTGCAGGGGTGCCTTGGCAAAATGCCTAAAAATTGCCCAAAAATTGTATATAAGCCAGTGGGTGGATCAAGCCTGTCTCTTAGTTACACAAAGCCACATTTTTCACCATTTACAACATTCCACCCGCTGGCATCATTGGTTGAAAAGGAGGACATTGGTCACCTGCACAGTATCCTTGTCTGCCTCTCCCCTGCCCCTCTCAGCCTGCACTGTGGTTACATTAGGTGAGTAAGGGAGAGAGAAACATTGCAATACTAGTCAGAATCCGTGTGCAAAGGTATGTTTGCTTTGTAAAACTAAACCACCTCCAATGTTGAGTGTCATACATTTGTGGATGCATTATGTAAAACTATTTTGATTTTTACATTTTAGAATGGGTGTCATCGGGATTATGCAGAATTTTAAACAGTCCCTTGGATGAAAAAAGGTAGAGAAACACTGGTCTAGGCAGTTTATAATTATCTTGAATTATAATAAATGCCTGTATGTGTTACACTAAACATGCAATTTATTCAACATTCGGTAAAATTTTCATTAGGTTTATGCACAGGGAGAGGAGTAAGACTTTTATTTTAAGTGAAGGTATTTTGACATTAGAATATTTTACTAATTTGTCAGAAAAGGGAAGCAACTTGCCTGCCTGAAATGGGGTTGTTAGCAACTTAATTGCTGGTAGACAGGTGAATTGCATATAGACCTCCTTCAGTTCAAACGCCTAATCTGTAGGTGCGCCTCCGAAATAACATCAGAAAAGTCCATTGTTTAGCAGCTCAAACTGGTGTATTGCAATCCTTTTTTTAAGGCTCTTTTTGATTGACCTGCATGGTGTTGAAATGCTTGCAGGTTTACAGTGCTAGGCTGTAGCTTTTAAATTGAAAACATTACAAAAAAAAAACAAATTGAGATATGCAGTGTTATTACACTCTTTCTCATTAGATCTTTTGCGGACCATATTGATGTATATGAATCAAGCAGATCACCAGTGGGACTGATTTTTTTAATTGGCCCCCCATTTCCATTTTGAAGTTTGATTAAAGACAAAAAGATGGCCAGTTTCTACAAATTCAGAATACCTTCTGAATAGAATAGTTCTGTAAAACTACAGCATCAGCTTGTAGTGCTTCAATTTTATCTCTGTACATTACATTACAGGACAGAGAGACGAGACGGATGGATAGAATATAATGTTTTTACATTTTTTCTCTTAGGGCATCCTTTGCTTCCTGACTTTTTCTTAGATGAAAGCCCAGATGTTGTCACCAGTAAACTGGAGGGGCTGGGTAAGTAGTTAATTTTTTTTTAATAAGGTCATTTTTTATTGAGTCAAAATAACCTTTCAGAAGGTAATTAATGTAGTGCAGAGTACCATCTCACACCATATATCTCGGTAATAAAACACGGAAAACCACTAGTGATAAGGTCAGGGAAGTCATACAGTATCACTGCAGCCACAGCTGCGCACTCACTGTCCAAGGTAGAAGTGGCTTTTGAGGGTTCTGGTACTGTGCAACACAATACATTATATTTTTGCTTCATAATTTACTTGATAGCTTAAGTGGTCCAATCCCACACCTTTGTGTGTGTGTGTGTGTGTGTGTGTGTGTGTGTGTGTGTGTTTTTGTTTTTTTTTTTTTTTTATAGTGGCGGCAGATACATTGTAGGCCTGTGCCTAATGTCATGGTCTTACCAGATCACATGCCATTGCTACAGCTCTCTCTACTTTGGAGATCCCCAATAATTTTTTATGTATGGTGTGACTACTTATAAAAGGACAGAGGCTCTGGAGAAACACAGGAGAAGACTTATTTGTTGTGTCTGAAAGGTGTTTGTGCATGCATAGGCAGAAAGCTGAAAAGAAGTATGTAATCGCTGATACACTCCTTGGTAGGCCACAGCATCCACCACAGGAAAAAACTGCATTTTGGAAACTGTAGACCAGTATTGGTCTATTTGGCAATTATGTAGGGCCCCAGAGACTTTGCAATAGCAGCATGCTTTTGGTCATTGCATCATTAGGTAACCCTTTAATGAGTTGTAACACACTTCAGCACCCAAAAAACTTTAGGCCTGCTGCATTTTTTTGCAGTGTACCAGAATGCATACTGAAGAGAACGTGGGAGTAAAATAAACCCAACCATTGGTGTTAGTAATAGTAATCCCCAGCATAGAGTTTCAGTGGCTGCAATCAAAACTTCCAGCGTGGTGTTAGTGGATGCAATAATAACCCTCAGCATTGCTGTCAGTTGCCACAATAACCACTCCCATCCTTGATGTTGATTGATGTCAAAATAACCCCCTGCATCAGTGAGGCTGGCAGAAATACCAAAACCTCAGCATAGCTGTTGTTGGACTCATTAAAAAAAAAAAGCACTCTTGGTGTAGGTGGCCACAGTAATATCTCCCAGCATTGGTGTGATTGGATACAAGAATAACCACCAGCATTGGTATCACTGGCCCCAATAATAACCCCTAACATTGGTGTATGTGACTGCAACAATAACCCCCAACGCTGGTGGCAGTGGCAGTACTACTAACCTCCTTCGTTGCAGATCCAAAGCTCTTCAGTATTTTATGTTCTTTGTCTTACTTTTTGGTAGATGGTATTTTAAGAATGTTTTGCTAAGTTCTGTGAGTTGCATCTTCATTTGTGTATCTGGCTTGTAGAAAGAGCATAATTTACATTTTACAGTATCCATAAAGCCACATAATTACATTGTTTTTAATTTATTGTATTGTGTCTTCTGCGTTTAAACGTGGGGAAAAAGCATCATCAAAAGTCCAAAGTCCAGTAGAAGATACCTTTAAAGCCATTGGAAAATCCATGAATGAAGATGCTGTAAAGTCTGTTCAAGGCGTCTATCAATTTATACTTTCAGGTAGGAAGTTATATTTGGCTGTCACTATGTACCTGTAAAAGAAAGCGATGCTGTGAAAATGGTGGAAGAAGAAACTCAGGTGGATGTACATCAAGAAATAGTGAGGAGATTTAAGAAAAGTGAAATCTTGATAATGTGCCAGTTGAGTTTTGTATCTGGCAGGACAGCAGTTCTGATTGAAGGTGAAAATGCTGACAATTTGATTGGTATGTACTCTGTTTATTTAGGCACTGCCTAGATGTGCCTACAGTTGGGAAACAAACTTGCTGTGGTAACAATATATAGTGGGTATAAAAAATAAAATAAAATCACCTCCTTTAAAATAATTACATTTTGTTGCTTTGCAGCCTAAAATGACAGTTTGTTTTATCCATCTGTATTTTCTCAGTGCAAATTAAAACATCCAAGTGAAAGATTTAATACCAACATGTCACTGAATTGGGAAAAAGGATCACCCCCTACTGAAAATGACTCAATCAGGTGTTGCTAATCACCTTTTCAATGGCACACAAAGCCGTTTGACATTCAACTGTGGTCATTTTGATTAGCTCAGCATGAAAAGAGCTTTCTTGGAGCATTTCAGTTCCTGGTAGTGCAACTAAAGCAAACAATCAACTATGGGTGGCAAGGCACTGTCAAAAGATCTCTGGGGTAAAGTAGTGGACAGGCACAAGTCAGGAGATGGATCCAAAAACGTTTGAAAGGCTTTATCAATGCCTAGAAGCACAGTGAAGGTATTTGGTACAACACAAACCCTTCCTGGATCAGGACGTCACTCTAAACTGGATGAAAGAGCCAGGGGGAAACTAGTCAGAGAGGCTACCAAAAGGCCTACAGCAACTTTGAAGCAGCTGCAGGAATTTATGGCAAAGCATGGTCATTGTGTGCATGTGACAATATCTCAAATTCTCCACAAATGTGGTTTGTATGGGAGGGTTGAACAAAAAAGCCACGCCTCAGGAGACAAAATGGAATTATTTGGCCTCAACACGAAATCCAGTACAGCTCACCATCCAAATAACACCATTCCAACAGTAAAGCATGGAGGTGATATAATCCTGTTATGGGGGGGTGTTTATCTGCAGCAAGGACTGGAGCACTTGTAAGGATAGAAGGATTGAGGAAAATCCTCTGCCCTCTGCCTGAAAGTTGTCAATGGGAAGATGGAAACATGATAATGCATGACAAAGCACACAGCAAAAATGACCACACAGTGGTTGAAGGAGAAAAACGTGAATGTCCTTGCATGGCCTAGTCAGAGTCCAGAGTGGGCAAATACTGCAACGTCTAAATGTGCAAAGTTAGTAATAACCCAACAGAGGAAAGGCTGTAATTTAAAGCAAAAGGAGGTGACACAAAGGGCTGATCCTTTTTTCCAACTTGGTGACTGTTTTTGAATTTTTTTTAAAAACATTTTCTGACATGTTGGTGTTCTTATTTTCCATACCAACTGTAGATTTGTATACAGTTGCAAGAAAAAGTATGTGAACCCCTTGTGATTACGTGGAGTTTGGCATGAATTGGACATAAAATGTGCTCTGAACGTCATCTAAGTCACAACAATAGAAGAACACAGTCTGCTGAACATAATACTACACAAACATTAGATGTTGCCATGGTTTAATTGCACATAACATGTAAACATTCACAGTGCAGGGAGGAAAAAGTATGTGAGGCCCTAGCTTAATGACTTCTGCCAGAGCTAATTGGAGCCAGGAGTGAGCCAACCATGACTCCAATCAGTGTGATGATATTTGATGTGTTGCTGACAGCTGTCCTGCCCTTAAAAAACACACACCTCTTTTGGATTTACTGGTTTCAAGAAGCACTGTCTGATGTGAACCATGTCTCGCAGAAAAGAGCTCTCAGAAGACCTACGATCAAGAATTGTTGACTTGCATGAAGCTGGAAAGGGTTACAAAAGTATCTCCAAAAGCCTTGATGTTCATGTGTCCACGGTAAGGCAGACTGTCTACAAATGGAGAAAGTTTAGCACTGTTGCTACTCTCCCTAGGCGTGGTCGTCCTGTAACAATGACTGCAAGAGCACAGCGCAGAATGCTGCATGAGGTAAAGAAGAATCCCAGAGTGTCAGCTAAAGACCTACAGAAATCTCTGGCACATGCTAACATTTTTGTTGACACATCTACAATAAGGAAAACCTTAAACAAGAATGGAGTACATGGGAGGACACCACGGAGGAAGCCATTGCTGTCCAAAAAGAATATTGCAGCACGTTTGAAGTTTGAAAAAGAGCATCTGGATGTTCCACAGCACTACTGGCAAAATATACTGTGGACAGATGAAACCAAGATTGAGTTGTTTGGGAAGAACACACAACACTGTGTGGAGAAAAAAGGCACAGCACACCAACATCAAAACCTCATCCCCACTGTAAAACATGGTGGAGGGAGCATCATGGTTTGGGGCTGCTTTGCTGCCTCAGGGCCTGGCTGGATTGTTGTCATTGATGGGAAAATGAATTCCAGAGTTTATCAAGACAGTTTGCAGGAAAACGTACGACCATCTGTCCGCCAACTGAAGCTCCGCAGAGGATGGGTGATGCAACAGGACAATGACCCAAAGCATACAAGTAATTCAACAAAACAATGGCTGCAACAGCGCAGAATACGCCTTCTGGAGTGGCCCAGTCAGTCCTGACCTCAACCCGATTGAAATGCTGTGGCATGACCTTAAGAGAGCGATTCACACCAGACATCCTAAGAATATTGCTATACTGAAACAGTTTTGTGAAGAGGAGTGGTCCAAAATTACTCCAGATCGTTGTGCAGGTCTGATCTGCAACTACAGGAAACGTTTGGTTGAGGTTATTGCTGCCAAAGGAGGGTCAACCAGTTATTAAGTCCAAAGGTTCACATACTTTTTCCTCCCTGCACTGTGAATGTTTACATGTTATGTGCAATTAAACCATGGCAACATCTAATGTTTGTGTAGTATTATGTTCAGCAGACTGTGTTCTTTTGTTGTGACTTAGATGATGTTCAGAGCACATTTTATGTCCAATTCATGCAAAACTCCACGTAATCCCAAGGGGTTCACATACTTTTTCTTGCAACTGTACATAATGGTTTTTTATTTTACCGTTAGCTTCTGGAGAAAAACTGTTTTATAAGATGTAGCAATCAGATTTTACTTTTGGGTGATCCATATTGTAGCAAAAATATGAAAGAAGAGAGTTTTTTGCTTTGGAGAGTGAGAACAGGGAATGGCCAGTTTAGGAAATAATTTGAAGGCAACACCTCACTTAAAAGGCAACTTATTTCTGAATCTAGGAATAAAAATGTAAATACATTGCAGTTTGCATCATTAGATGTTGTGGCTGCATTAGTTTAGTTTTTTTTCAAGCTTGCCTTTTTTATTTCTACCTGTTGGTTCTGATCGTTACCCAATTCCTGTCCTAGGGTGACAGCAATCACTCACTGTTCTGTATCTTTGGAGAATAGTGTTGTGTTTTTGTTTGTTTTTTGATTTTGTATCCTGTTTGGCTGAGTATAGATCTGTTTTGCCAGCACCTTTAACAAACCGTAAACAACATGGTTTTCAAGGAGCAGGTGACCTCCGGCATCCTTAACAACCATCAAATATTATGTTTGTTAAGGAGTGGGTGGCTGTCCCATCTTTAACCACCGTAATTCATCTGCTGTCAGTGGTTTTTTTTTTTTTTTAAAAAGAAAAACCGCATGGGGGCAATTCTTTTGTTTATATTTTGCTGTCCGCAGGTGAGTCATGGTTGTTAGGAACAAAGCTATTTATTGGTTGTTAAGGACACCGGTGGGTTCCAGCTCCTTAACAACCAGCTGAAATAAATACTTTTTTTAACCGCTTCCCGTCCACCCTATAGCAGATATATTGCTGCAGAGTGGCAAGGGTGTGCAAAATCCTGCACCGCCATTCGTGGCTGTCAATCATTGGGTCCCGGCCGGTGATTGCTGAGCATCTCCGACGGGGGGAGGGGGGAACTACAAAACCGTTCTCCCTGTCAGGTCGTGCATACTGCTTTGCAGCCGTGCGTTTATACTGAAGCACCAACACAAGACACGATATAATACTGCACACCATTAACCCTTTGATCGCCCCCACATGTTAACACCTTCCTGCCCAGTGCCATTAGTACAGTGTGAGTGCTTTTTATTAGCACTGATCACTGTATTGGTGTCACTGGGGATGTCAGTGACACCAAGTCGGTTCCCCCCAGTGTCAGAATGCCCGCCGCAGTCCCGCTATAAGTCGCAGATTGCCGCCATTACTAGTACAAATTTAAAAAATAATCGCATTGTGTGTGTGTATATATACCGCCATTTGTAAACACTATAACTTTCACGAAAACCAATTAATTTGCACGTATTGGGATTTTTTTTTTTTAGCAAAGACATGTCGCAGAATACATTTTGATGTAAATTTATGGCTAAATTAGCATTTTTTTTTACTGGACTTGGTTAATACAAAAAAGTAAAAAATATTGTTTTTTTCCTCAAAATTGTCTTTTTTTTTTTTGTTTTGTTTTTAATGGTGCAAAAAAAACCGCACAGGCGAACAAATACCACCGAAATAGCTCAATTCGTGGGGAAAAAAGGACGTACATTTCATATGGGTGCAGCGTTGCATGACCGCACAATTGTCAGTTAAAGTAATGCAACGCTGTAATGCAAAAAATGGCCTGGTCAGGAAGGGGGGTAAATCCTCAGGAGGGCAAGTGGTTAACTATCACATGCCTTGACCACTTCTTATTTACCACATGCATTTATGTATGTATTTCCTTTAGTTAATTGACTCTAATGCCGATTTATGCAGTATTTACTGAGAGTGTTTACTTTGAGGTAAACACAACATAAAGGGATTTGGGAAAAAATGTGCCAGATCACCTAAATACCTCTGCTGCTTTAGTGAATTGAGCCCACAGAGTCAATAACAGTTGCTCTACCCTTTCTGCTTTATATATAGTTAAATTAAATTTTTGCTGTTGGCTCTTAACCCTTTCACTGTTTTTTGCACATTAAAAAAAAAAAAAAATTTTAGGCCTAAAGATTACTTAAAAGCCAATAAAAATGAAAAAAAAAAAATTTGCACCTGAGGTGACATAATATACAAAGAATTTCAGCTAGGCACTATACCCTGATACCAGGCATTCAGCATAAATATATAACAGTGCAGCGCTTAATTTGAACCAAAATCTTTCCAAAGTGTAAAGTAATTCTGACTTTCACGGATTAATATAATAAATGTAATAAACGTGGAAATGAACATAAAGCAGAAAGTGATCATAAAGTGTCCAACAAGATGTGATTGGTATAACCAATCAAGTATTCAGTCTCACATGCTGTGATGGCAGTTTGAAACCTCAAAGATAGCCACGGTGACACCATCAGCTGTCATTCAAGGCTTATCGAAAAGCTTGTGACCCCCCTACTAAAAGTGGTCCATAAATGCTCATTAACCACTTGCCGTCCGGCCGCTGTATATAAACGGCTGGCTGGTGGCAGTTTAGGGGCGGGTTGCCGTTCATAAACGGCGCCCGCCATTTTGGACTGTGCGCGCTCCCTGGGAGCATGCAGCACCACGATCCGGTTCCCGCTTTGTCCTTCAGACACAGTGGTACACCGATCGTCATACAGGACCTCTGTGTGAGGTCCCGATCGTGATCACTGATTGGCCAATCAGTGATCACATGCAGAGTAGTAAGCAAGATGTCACTTCTGACATCATTGCTTACTACGTGTGAAATCTGTGAATGATCACAGAGGTCACATAGTGCAAGGCTATTCACAGCCTTATACCATGTGACAAGCTGTGACCAATCACAGCTCACAGAGTAGTTCTCAATGGCTGCAAGAATGCAGCCGAGAGAGGAGGAGAAATTATTGCTTTTACAGCCTTTATGGGTGTAAAAGCAATCCGTGTAGAAAAAAAAAAAAAATCTTCATCACCCCCCACAAGTAGTACACTGTACTGCTAGGGTGATAGTATGTAAAACAAAAAAAAAAAAAAAAAAAAAAAAACAATATAAAAAAAATGTAAATAAAAATTTTAAAAAATTATGTTTTGGTTATAAACTAATTTTTGGGTTTTTTTTTTTTTTTTTTTTCTTACTAAAAAGATAACTCAATAAATTTTGGCCAAGATTTATGATGAACTATTATTTATTTGCAACATTTTATAAGAAAAACAACTTTTTTTCAAAATTTTTGGACTTTTTCATTTATATAGCAAAAAAAAATAAAAATCCCAGTGGTGAATAAATACCACCAAAATAAAGCTTTATCTCTCAAAAAATGCTAAAAAATTCATATGGGTACAGTGTTGCATGACCGCGCAATTGCCATTCAAAGTGTGATAACACTGAAAGCTGAAAATTGGCCTGGACGGGAAGGGGGGGTAGAAGTGTCCAGACTTGAAGTGGTTAAGGTAATAAAGATGACAGCACGGAAATGGATAATCCTCATAGAGAAGCTCAAAACATATCAAATGGGTAAGCCACAGCCTCCTCTGTAATTGATGCTGGCTCCACAATAATACAGCTCAAACCAATGTGATCAAAGCATGCAGTAGAGTACATGTAATAAAGAAATGCTCCACATACTGTAAAACCACAAACTTGAGGAATTTATTAGGTAGAAATGCACTTACAGCATGCTGTAGTATACAGGCATGTATATAAAACTGCCAGGGAATCTTCTTCCAGGAACAAAGATGGAAAATGGCCAGTTGCGCATGCATGGTAGCATATGTGTGTGTGTGGCTCCATCCTATGCGTTTCATCATATGTGTTGTCATCAGGGGCAAACCCACATGCCAGACCACACTCATAAATAGGGGAAGCGGCCGAGGAGGGTCGGTGTCATTGGTTGACAAGCATCAAGGGAAAGAACCCAACCGGCTGGATCTCATTAAAAAAACCATACAGTGAATAACCATACTATAGCCGAATCGTTATGGACAAAAACCTATATACTCTACAGCGCCATTTTAAGAGGAAAATTACTATGAAAACTGTAATTCAGACAAAAAAATTCTAAAATTAACCACATGCCGCCCAGCCACTGTAGAAATACGGCGGCAGGGCGGCACGGCTGGGCAAAACCACGTTTTAAAACGTGTGTTTGCAAAACAGGTATGGGGCGCTCGCGAGGTGCGCCACCGCCCTACCTGTCCCGCTGATCAGGGCCGCGGATGTCAGTCGCCGGGTCACAGCCGTTTGTTACCGGCTTTGTCCTTCCGATTAGCGACAATCACTGACAGAGAGGAGGGCTGCAGTAGCTCTGCTTTCTGTCAGTTCCCTGTCAGCTCCTGACATGCTGAGCAGGAGAGAAGAGTTTTATCTCTCCCGATCAGCTGTCCCCCCTGCAGTACACACCCCGCCCCCTAGTAAAACACTCCTCTCGCACAGTTAAACTTTTCAGTAAATAAAAGTTAACCCCTTCCTCCCCAGTGCCATTAGTACAGTGTCAGTGTTTTTTTTTTTGCACTGATCACTGTATTGGTGTCACTGAGGATGTCGGTGACCCCAAGTCAGTTCCCCCCCCAGTGTCAGAATGTCTACCACAGTCCCGCCATAAGTCGCTGATCGCCGCCATTATTAGTATAAAAAAAAAATGTAAAATCCTAGTATCTTTCCTTCCATTTGTAAACGCTATAACGTTCACGTAAACCAATTAATTTACACGTATTGGGTTTTTTTTTTTTTTTAGCAAAGACATGTTGCAGAATGCATTTTGGCCGAAATTTATGACGAAATTTGATTTCTAAATTTTTTTACTGGACATGTTTTATAGCAAAAAGTCCAAAATATTTATTTATTTTTTCTCATTGTCAGCCTTTTTTTTTTTTTTTTTTATAGCGCAAAAAAATAAAACCGCACAGGCGATCAAATACCACCGAAAGAAAGCTCTATTTGTGTGAAAAAAAAGGACATAAATTTCATTTATGTACCGTATTGCATGACCGCGCAATTGTCCGTTAAACTATAACAGCGCTGTATAGCAAAAAAATGTCGTAAATTGCAGTATCTATACCATAGTTTGTAGACGCTATAACTTTCACACAAAGCAATCAATATACACTTATTGGGATTTTTTTTAACAAAGCATGGAGCAGAATACATTTTGGCTTAAATTTATAACTAACTTTGAGTTTACTATATATTTTTTATAGCTGAAAGTAAAAAATATCATTTTTCTTCAAAATTTTTGGTCTTTTTTTGTTTATAGCGTGAAAAATAAAAAGCGCACAGGTGATCAAATACCACCGAAAGAAAGCTCTATTTGTGTGAAAAAAAGGACGTAAATTTCGTTTGGGTGCAGCATTGCATGACTGCGCAATTATCAGTTGAATTAGTGCAGCGCCGAGTAGCAAAAAGAGGCCTGGTCATTAAGGGGGGTAAATCCTCAGGAGGGCAAGTGGTTAAGAATTGGAATAAAAATCAGTAGTTATTCAGTGATCAAACACATATTGAAGTCTAACCAGATTTAATAGTAAGTATTAAAAGGTAATCCTGCTTAACTGAATACAATTAAAAAGGAGAAATTACAAATGTAAATACAAATATAAAAAGATCATAAAAGACACATAAATGTAATTGACCCCTTTACATGACAAAAATAATAATTTATTAGGTAGACATTTTACTTAACCGTTTCAGTACCATCCTGCCCAGGCCATTTTTCAGGTTTCAGCGCTCTCACACTTTGAATGACAATTGCGCGGTCATGCAACACTGTACCCAAACTAAAATTTTATCATTTTTTTCACACAACTAGAGCTTTCTTTTGGTGGTATTTAATCACCACTGGGGTTTTTATTTTTTGCTAAATTAACAAAAAAAATGACCAAAAATTTTGAAAGAAAAACAAATTTTTCTTTGTTTCTGTTATATAAAAGTTTACAAATAAATAATTGTTCTTCATAAATTTAGGCCGAGATGTATTCTGCTACATGTCTTTGGTGAAAATAACCCAAATTAGGATGTATTTTTTAGTTTTTAGGAAAGTTATAGAGTTCACAAACTATGGTATAGATCTGAAAATTGATCAATCCTGAAGTACTGACGGCCAATCTAATTTCTTGAGGTCCAAGAATGTCAGAACAGTACAGATATCCCCAAATGACCCCTTTTTGCAGAGTAGACAGTCCGACGTACTTTATAAGAGGCATGGCGAGTTTTTTGAAGTTGTATTTTTTTGTCATAATTTTTAGGAAAATGAAAAAATGAAAAAAATTATTTTCACTATTTTTTTGTTTTACATACTGTCACCAGTGCAGTACAGCGTCATCATTTAACTGGCATGGCGGTGAACAGGGACACTGACTGGTGACAGTATGAAAAAAAAATATATATATATATATTTTTTTTTTTATTATATTTAATTTTTTATTATTACATTTTTTTTTATTTTTTTTAAGATTTTTTTTCATATTTTAAAATAGTACAATGTTACCATAGTAACATTGTACTACTTTGGGAAAGTGATCAGTATTTTTTTTTTTTTTTTTTTTTACACAATTTGCTTATAGCAAAGAATTACTTTGCTATAAGCAAGCATTTACCTGAATGAAATCGATTCATTCAGCTTTTTTTTTTTTTTTTTTTTTTTTTTTTTTTTGTGCTTAGCTGTGATTTGGTCACAGCTAATCACATGACATGTGCATGTGATTAGCTGTGACCATTCACAGCTAGGCACTAGTATACAATGGATGGCATCATGAATGAAGCCATCCATTGTATACAACTGTCATGTGACCTGCTGTGATTAGTCACAGCAGGTCACATGGTACCAGCAACGGGAGCCGGTACTCGGATCTGTCATCGGCCGTGTCTGAGGTGCATGGCCGATGACAGATCGCACTGCTGCGCCGCTCTGCACTAGCGCAAACGGCGCATGTGCGGGAGCACACCAAATGGCGTGCACCCAGAATGCAGATACACATCTGAAGCCGCCAAACGGCCATTGGCCGGGCGGCTAATGGTTAAAAGCCACCATATACCCTGTGGAGTTAAATAGTGGTAGCTCCAAATTTTTTTACGACACATATTAGCATATTGTATTTCTTACTGAAATTTCATACTTTTGAAACTTGATAATCCAATCTCACAGTGCAGTACATAGGCAGAGTATTTATATACCTTGTGTTTATAGGCTTGTACTTTTCAGGTGACTGGACAGTACTAAGCTTTCAAGGAAAACCTTGGGTGCCACACCCGGGCCAAGTGCTGTGTGGGCATCCTGTGATATTGCTTCAGGCACTGGATCCTGCATGGGCACTCACTTTGGCACTTAGTGTAACACGTGCAGTCAGCTGCAGGGCAGTTCCAGGGATGTAGTTCATCCCTATGGTACCCAGTGCCTGGAGAATCCTTTGGGGGTATGCTTACCATGATTTGGGCGAAGCTTGAGCTTTATATGCATTTCAGCGTCAATGACCGGTAAGAGTAAGACCAGGTCACCTTGTAACTCTGAATGTGGAATGTGTTCACTTTAGAGTGTAAATTTTTCGAACTACTAAAACTCAACCTCTCAAAGCTTCAGGTGGATGACCAGGAGTTAAATCACACCATTGGTCACATACCTTACCTTCCATTCCACCAACTCTTAAAAGGGCACTTCCTCCCGCCCTTTCATCACAAGAATCTGCTACAAGACACGCTTGCCCTATATTCCCTATGTATGTATATTCCCTATATAAGGTACTCCATGAGTTCCCCACAGGGGAATACCCTCACACATAGCTATGGCTGATATCATGAAAAAGGGAACCATGGCAATAGTGCAGGTGATTATTCATTCTGACAAAGGCCCACACAGCACTCGTCCTCAGAGTGATGATGCGCCCTTGCACCAGAGCAGGAGCTGGCTCTAACACAGGTCTCTG